CGATTCAAAACGCTGCGATCGCTATCGCGTCCCGTGGGTCGGGTTTCACCCTGGCTGCGATGACAGCCGTTAATCGCTGTAGTTTGTCGCTCCCCGTGTGTCGAGCCCTTAATGGTGAAGCTTTTTTTAAATACCTCTATTAACCACAATGAGGCTTAGCTCAGTATGATCAAAACAGATTGCACTCATTTTGATTTCATATTTTTTTTGCATCATGCAAAAATAACTAACATGTTCAATGTGCCGTCTAACAATATGACAAGTTAAATGCTTATAAAAAGTTTAATYAGATAAATCTGGAAGGTTTAAGCTTGTTAAATGCATAAACTTGTAATAAGTTTGGTCTTCGTTGTGTCTGATTTTACCAGTGAGATCCACGTCTGTTTTCTTGCTCGAGTCCATTTCAGTAAAGAGTTCCTGAAAGTGATCGCTSACAGCTGCCAGAACAGCTCTGTGGGCCAAGAACGACCTCCCCGTAGTTTGCAGGGTGATGTCACAGAAAAGACCCGCCTCCCTCTGACTCCTCAGCTTGCTCAGCACGTCGGTGCCGTGTGACGCCACGGTCTTTGTGACGCACCTTCTCCCRTCAGACTCCTACGAGTCGAAGGCAAATAAAAAAAAGGCATCGTTGCAGAAAGTGTGAAGAAGCACTTGTCGGGCACGAAGTGTGAGCAAAACGTTAAGTGAGAACGAGCAAAAACGTGTGAATAAAAAGCTGTGTAAGATGCAGAAAAATGAAGCACTGTGGGAATTAAAAGTTCTGACAGGAGGAAAGGAGCCTCAACAATCCTCTCACCTCTGACTTTTTGCTGCGCTGACTCTGACATTCTGGACAGCTGAGGACAAAGTCTCTGATCTGGAAGTACATTCCTGTGAAGAAAAACAATCACAGAAACCGTTTAAAGCAGTGTTCCCCAAAGTTGGGGTCGGGACCCAAAGTGGGGACCCGAAACATCAAGGTGGGGTCCTGAAAAGATTTTCTGAATTAATTACATTTTTGCCTTAGTTGTTACAAAGGAGTGAGGTTAGTGTATTTAAAATGGATAAATGTAGTATAAAAAATATTGTTACTATGCCCATGTTTTGTTGACCCGATATAAATGTTTCTCATCCGAAAATAGCTGGGGGCACAGGTCTCTGCCATGGATATTTTGTGGGTCAGAAGATAAAAAGTTTGGGAACCACTGGTTTAAAGAGCTTGAAGAGCTGAAAGAGAAAAAAGCGGGATAAGCTCAGGAGCACAAAAGAGTTTCGGCTTCTCACCTTAATGAAGGCCACCAAATAAATCAAAAATCAAAGGACACTGACAGATTACAACAATATAAATACGGTTTCCTTTCAGCTTGTAGTTCTGTTTTCCTTATGTTTGCTCATCTTTTGTATTGCACTTGCTCAAATGTAACTTTCAGGACTAGATAAAGTGGTAAAACTTTCTGAAATACTCCTTGGAGCGTGGGACCTTTGCCCTCATGTTCACAAAGTGACAAACATTTGCAAAAAGTGTGAGCCCATTTGAAACTTTATATCAAAGAAGCTCCAAAGAAACTCTCCCAAGTTAGGTTTAGACAACACAATGAAGTTAAAGGATGACATAAGAGTGTGAAGAGCAGTGCTGTAATGTTATCCTGGCAGGTCAGACGCACGTACCCTCCCACCAGTAGTTCTCAGCCACGCATTTGTAGGTCTCCTCCAGGGACAGGTGGCGCTGRCCCGGCCTCCTCCTGTGGAAGGTGGAGACGGCCTCGTGCCTTCGGTCCTCGTTCAAAACCTCCCGGTAGTTGATGTAGCCCCGCTCCAGCTTCTTGCGGTACAGCAGTCCGTCCATCATCTCAAAGTTTGGCGACCGCCGAGGAGGGGAGCCATCCAGGCAGAAACCGGACGCGCCCACGTAATAATGGTCGTTGGTGCGCGTGCGGGCTTTGGCCATTTCCCCCTCCCCACTGGTTTTTATCCTCCGGTTATGATGATGCAGCTTTGACAAGTCTGATCCCCCCTCTTCCTCTGAGCTGGTAATCCCCCCCACACTCCCAGGAGGGGAGCCGAACTTTACCCACCGACCCGAAACAAAGTCCACCAGGATGTGCTGCTGACAGCACCACCCAGAAAACACGGCCCGTGACACCCTGACGTCTTAATCAGGTCAGCACTATAAAAACCACAACTGTACAGTTTAGCATCTTATATAAACATGTTGTAGCTCCGTGGGGTCAACCTGAGCATCACTCTGAAAACAAGTTGTGGCAAAACATCCCTAACATGTCAGCAGTTACACTTCCCGTCCAAAACCCGTGCCTTCACCTTTCTGAGCTACTGTCCGGTAAAAGTGCTTGACTCGTCCATTCAGTGGGGATATAAAAGCAGACAGCGGAGTATCGCGCCAACAACACAAGTGATGGAAAAGTCACTACGAGGACCACGTAAACAGGCTTCACCGTCAGTATCCCGCCGACAGTCAGTGTTTCGTGTGATTCGGGTCTCGGGAGTGGCCTCTGGGGCTGGATGACGGCGGGCAGCCTCACCTCTGGCGTTAACTTGTGATTTCTTTTTCCTTTTTTTTTTTCGCCAACTCAAGTCGGAAGCAACATGATGACGCAGCTATCAGCCAGGCATCGCCACTTGAACGACCTAAAGCGAGGTGCTCTCTCTCCCCCCGCCGAACGGACCGAAACGTCACAAATAACCGCGAAATCACCCCCCGAAACCCGGTCAAGACTCCCCGGTTTAAGCACCCGACATAATTCGCCCCACTCTCGGTGCCGCAAAGCCAGACCGGTGGCCAAATAATCCAATTTTTCTAACTCGTAACCTTCTGTTTGTTGCTAATCAGGAGACTAACCGAGCCAACTCCTCCCCGCCTTCACACAAAGACCATTAGCAGAAGCTTTAAAGAGCCTTCGTTACACGGCTTCTGATTGGCTGGCTGAGCTGCCACTCAAGTTAGTTCTCGTCTTTTGGCAACAAGATAGGTTGTTCCGTCACGATGTCTGAATAAAAGTATCAATTTGCTTCACTTGCTGTACAGTTAAAAACAYAAAATATCTGTATTTTATTAGGTAATTAAATACAAATCATAGCATATAAATCTGCATAGTATTTAGTTTATAATACATTTCATATCATTTGGCAGGGACAAATGCTATTTCATTAAAATAAAATGTTATGTAATTTATAAATACTTCAATGTTGAATTARTTTTGAATGTAGCTTATTCTTTGGAGGACCAATTTCATTTAGGAAAACTAGAATTTAAACYCTAAATTGGTTGAATAAGAGGTCCCTTAAAATGATCAGAAAGCGATCAAATCCTTAATTTTCATGGTACTTTGCAGGCAGTTCTAGTCCTTTTTCAAATAATTGTGTGGACTCTTCATACTGACAGCATACGGACATGCTGGGACCTATAACTGTAACCATTTGATTTTTGTAAATGAATGTAGGTCTGAAATAGTCCTATAAACAGAGTTGCACATGAGCGGTGCGCAGGTGCGCTTGCACAATCAAAAAAGGAAAAAGCGCACCAGATAGGACGTCATAAAGCCCCCTTGCGTACCTAAGATTATACCTGATTGTCAGTCAAAACAACAGCTAGCAGGGCTCTAGAGTGCAAACAGTGTGGTCCAAACGAGACCTGATTTCTTAAAAAAAAAAAAAAAA